ATATATATATATGTGTATATATCTATATCTATATATATTTACACAGTGTAATTATGCCATTATGCTGTGTGGATGTGCAATTGCATGTATTGAACAACACACAAAATCACACATATGAGTAACAAAGGGGTTAAACATATTTTATTTGCTTTTTCTATGAGAAGACACATTGACTATCATTCAATCTATGTGAAAATGTGAACTTTGAAACAGTTTTTTTTTCCAGGCAGTGATCTCACCAGTACCAACGGTTAGTATTTTAATGACTTGTCATTTCCTGTTCTGATAAAGATTCTCATGTTATTTAACCAACCATTTCCTTGAGGCTGCACCAATAGCAGGATACCATTAAGGATGACTCAGAATGGACCTCAGAATTCAATAGCTTGACTCACCCATCTAGGTTACAATGCCCTGGAGAGAAACATGAGACCCAGGTGCTTCTGTCTGTCATCTATAGCGCGCGCGTACACACACATTCATGAGAGGCTTAAATTTACAAAGACAAAACAACAGGATAAGGATCCTTTTTTGAAGAGAAAAAAATACTGACCTTTGTATTTATCCAAGTCCAATAAGATTTCAAAGTTACAGCCAAAATAAAGATGGTTATCCTTGTGTTAAAGCTTAGTGTATTGAGCCTAGTGTCTTGTCTACTGAACAGAAGCAAAGAGGTCGGTGGACAAAGTGATACCAGCAGGACACCTTAATGTACTGTACAAATGTTGCATGAGTACTTTCCATTGAATATCTGATTCTACAAAAATTGTAAGCTTTCAGTTCTCAGAAAGCCTTACTTTAGGCATCGCTTTATCAGTTATTGAGGAACGTGATCGCTGCCTAACATAACTGAAAGTAAAAGAATACAGAGATAGGATCTTATTGCAATCCAGCCAATCACAGTTGGATCAGGCAACACTATGATTTCTGTATGCAGTCCTCAACCACTCCAGACATCCCCTGGTCATACAAAGATGCCCAGTAGTACTCACCTAATCTCCTCCCCAGACCCAAACATGAATGTGCAGCTCATACGTGAACATCTGTGGAGAGACCCTTTTATATGAAAAAGTCTTCTCTGTTATCAGATTGTACCTGCACGATTTGTCTGTACATATAGCTTAAAACAAGTGGCTCTCAGCATTTTATGGTTCAGGGGCCACTTCACCCAAGTTACATGTGTAGTGGCCCATATCTGCCCCTGTAAAAAGCATCTCCTAATGATGGATGTGAATTGCTGCTGAAGTCACTTGTCTCACCCTTAAGGATTTCATTTTGTTGCTGCTTTCCTATGGTGCCTCACTGTTTATGTGCTTTGTATTATCTGGCTTTAGTTATGTACGTTTTGCTCCTTTCATTTCCACGTTTCCACTACTTTGCTCATATTCTCATAAATCACAGAGTTTCAACTGTGTCAGAACACACGAGTGGAAAGCACTCCTCAATAGCTTCCCTGTCCCCCGATGTTTTCGACCAAAGAATCCAGGAAGATCGTCCCTAGAACCTATTGGGTTCCCAACTACAAGACCTAGCAAGACGTTTTCCTCAAGCATCATTAACGCAGTCAACAAGGTGCCATAATTAAGCCTGACAAGGTTGGTGGAAAGCTTTAGGCAGCAAATCCCTAATTTGCTAGCTTCCCACTGCAGCTAGTGACAGCTCATTCTAAAGTGAGTGACTGAAGATGGCTAGCTACCCCCTGTCACATACCGGACGACCAACAGTATTCCAACACACACACACACACACACACACACGCTTAAAATATTTCAGCTTAAATTTAAAAATCAAACATTATATTCAAATATGTTTTTTTTTTCTAAATGAGCATCACATTATAGCTGCATCCAGAAAAGCACAGATTCTTATGTGAGCTTTTCATAGTACTAAGCTACCAGGAAACCATCTACCGCATTAATCATGTACGGGGAAACCCTGAAATGTACTTTAGAAAGGGGAAATGGACTAAGAATTTCAGTTCACACAAGTGGCAGGTATTTGGCAATGCGTGTCTCTGTCATACTATTAAACCCTTTGTACTGGAGTAACAGCTGCATCATTATTTCACTTCTCGATTATTAGGACACTAGCAGAGACTGAACTTCTATTAACCACAACTATAAACAAGTACCAAGGTACAATTCGACCATCTGGACTCAAGCTTACCTTGTTATCTTGGATAACATAGAAACCAAAAACACAATACCACTACTAGGATTACAAAATCTACACACCTAAAAGAATTTACAGTGTGACCTGGCACCGCTTTAAAGAATACATTTTTTGGTATAGGACAAAGTTTAACATGTTTTATGGGCTGCGATCACCTAAACACAATTTTCAAACAATGAAAAAGGTGCAGGATCTGCGGAATAAACAAACATTCACATGATGCTGAAAAATGCATGCAATGTAACAGTCTAAGGCCCCGTTCACACTGAGCGATTTATTGCACGCTAAGTCCCGCTATATCGCGGCTATTTACCACGCGATATCGCTCTCCAATGCATCTCAATGGGGCTCTGTCCGTCGCTGTCACGGGTCGTGCGTCGCGGGTCGTGCGTCGCTACAGCAGGACCCTTTTTGGAGCGGATTTTGCCGCGATTCTAGCTTGCTCAATGCAAGCATTTGCGCGATATCGCGCGTTTGTCGCGCAAAATGCAAATCGTGCGACAAATGCGCGATTTGCGAATCGTTCACTGTGAATGGGGCCTAAAGGGGTAGCAAACCTCCGGCCCTCCAGCTGTGGTGAAACTACAAATCCCATGATGCATCTCTCTTCAGGAGTCATGTCTGTGAGAATCTTGCAATGCCTCATGGGATTTGTAGTTCCACCACAGCTGGAGGGCCGTAGGTTTGATACCCCTGGTCTAAAGGGTATTCAGACTAGCCAAGCAGGATTATATGTTCAATGGGAAAGGATACCCACTAGGAGGAGCTGTTGAAATCACTAAACAGAACACTTTCTTTACTGGCAGTGCAACGGAAGCTAGAATGCAGTCTTGTGTGTGAGACTGTGTTAGCACACAGCGATGCCACTACATCACAATCAACTTGAACAAATCAAAGTGGGGGAAGCATCTACGGCATCAAAGCAAAAGAGCTTTCTTTTCTTAACCCATTTCAGATATTGCACCGCTTCTATTTTTTAAAATTAATCTACATGTGCCTCAAAAGAATTGCGTCTCTAGTGTTGAACTAGACCCAGAACTACCAAGCTATAAACAACAGTTTAAAAGCTATATACCATAGTCCTACCGCCCATTGCACATGCACCACACTTGCATCTAGCTGCCCTCTGCTATTCCTACTTTCTCAGCCTCTGCTGCAACTCTGCTACATTCACTGGCTCTGCTGTATCACCTCTGCACCAGGGCCACATTCTCAGTCTTTCCTTCACCTATTATTAGAATACCATCAGCTATACAGGACTACAAATCCCAACAATACGTATAGCAATGCAGAATACCATCAGCTAATAATCCCAGCCATCAATACATCATACAGCAATTTAGATTAGTTAAAAAAATAAAAAATGCAACACATGGCTTGCTATATGAATGCTTTTCTTACTTCTCTCCAGTTCCTCTTCAACTGTTGGGCAGGTGCACTGATATCTATCCGCACTCTGGGGTGGCCCTGGGATGGCTGGAACTAAAGTTTAATGATCTGCTGCTGCAGCTTCCAGTATTCCTCCACAGCAACCAAAAGTGGAAAAATAGTCCCCTCTCTCCTCCTGTCAGTTCAGGGACAGAGAGGACTTTAGCAAAATTTGCTGCTTGAGTGCGTGCCTGGGACCTCCTGCTTTCCTGCAATAGAGCCTCCTCTGTCCCTGGGCCCCCCTGCTGCCCGGTGGTACTGGAGAGCCAGCTCTACCGTTTCCAGCTCTGACTCGGCAAGAAGCACGTCAGAACTCCACAGAGAGACCCCTACTTCCACACAGAGTGCAAAGGACCTTCTCTACAACATGGTGGCAGGAGACAGGCTTTTCTCATCTGGATGTTGTAGACTTTACACCCATTTTGTTGTGATGCACCAGGAATGTATTTTTTCCCTCTATAGGTTGAACTCGATGAAGTTGGTCTTTTTTCAACCTAACTATGTATTCAGTCAATTTGAACTAAAAGGTCAATTGGTCTTTAAATATTATGGATTCAATGTTCTGTCCCTTTTATCCCTCTTCAAAAATTATTTCCCTGCAGTTCTACTTTAATGGGTTTAGTATAAAGCCATCAACATAATTATTGTTGAGCAAGACTGAGGGGCAGGAAGCCTGTCACCTTACCCAGCCAATGTCTAAAAATAGCTCCAATATCCTTCCAATGGCACTGGGTTTTGATAGAAGGGAGACTGGTTAGCTTCTATCTAAAGGTGCAAGTAAGGATTATTTATGATAGTTTAGTTAGCCGATAATTTTTTCCTTTAAATCGGATTTTTTAAAAAGAAGTATTTACAATTTTAATTAAATATTAATAATTTACTTAATTATTAACTAATATTATTTATTGAATTAACTATTATTAGTTTATTGAATTAACTATTATTAGTTATTTAATTATTAAATATTATTTAATGGACATATATTAATTATTTCCGCATAGCTCTCATCCATGGCATATGCCACAGAAAGAACTTGTGCAGGAAAGAAAACATTATAAAAGCGGACTTCACTCCTGGACTCCTCTCACCAGACGCCTTTTCTGGGGTAATCAGATTGGATGCACGCTTGAATCCACGTCCTGACGTGCGGATTCATACGTGTGAATCGATTGGCTACAGATAAAAAAATGTCATCTTGCCTAGCTGAGCGCGGGAAAGGATATTGTTAGACACACTGCATGCAAAGCTCCACGCACTGCCACTTTCCTGTGTGTCACGGGTTTCAAAGGCTTGAGGGCCGGTTCACACCATCTCTAGCATGTTGCGGCACGGTCAGTGGCCGGAAAGGCCCTATTCATCCCGGGGAGGAGGAGATCATCCAGGGGAGGAGGGCAGGAGGCCGCAGGTCCTCGGGCAGTGCCCGAACAGTCAGCATGCGAGTGAAGCGGGGAGGGGGAGCAAGTGAGGGTGCAAACAGCCCAACTAATCGAGCAGACAAATAATCGATAAGGAAAATCGATTTTCATTATTGATGATTATCGACTTTATTGATGAGTTGTTTCAGCCTTACTTCTATCGTAGTCAGTTATCAGTATTTTAATATTTTGAAAAAGGATTTATATAGCACCAACAGCTTGGTAAGCAAAATAAAGGGAGACAGTCCAGTTACAATACAATTCAATGCAAGAGAGCTAGGGAGGATCCGCTCATGAGAGCTTACATTCCCTTTTCTATCGGGGAGATTACCCCAAACATCTTGTTCTTGGGACACTCAAGAAAATTATTGAGATCGACTTCCTGCTTGCCCTCTTTGATGTGCATTCTCCATATATTTCTTTAAAGATGCTACTGGGGCAGTCACATTTACAATACAGTTTTAGTGGGAAAATAAACAAACAGAAAGAGCATAATCTTTGCTCAACACACAAACTGTTGAGACAGGAATAAAGTTAATATAATAATAAACAAGATGTACCTTAAAGCTTGCCATAGACATGAGATAATTGTTGGACATACAGTCATGATCCAACCTTCTCATGATATCCGCTACGTCAAATTTGTGATAAGCAGGAAAGCTTGGGTCTGCCCCACAGACATAGACATTAGTCAGCTGCTTGGTCTGATTAAAAACAAGAGACTGCCATCTTATGTCTATCGGTACTGTAGGGGTCAGCTTCAAACTTATAGCTTGGAGAGAGCTAGTCCAGATGTCAAGGAGTGTGTTTACGGAGTTCCTGCCCATGTTTATTCTTTCCCTTGCAGGGAGTCTATGTCACCACAATCCAGAACACAACAAAACATTCAGCTTCCTGGCTGACTAGGAGACAAATTAGGTCTGTTTAGATCTGCAGGCTGTTCCAGCACTTGTTCACACCATATGCGTGTGCTGGCCATTTTTGCAAGACAAAGCAATTTGCCTTGTCATAGGTGGGCTCGGTTGAAACCACTGTGTTCTGGTGGTGCGCGCTTAAAAAAAAATGTATGGCATGCAATACGTTTTTTTAAGCACACCACAGTGGGACACGGTACAACCACATTGCACCGCGATGAGCCTATAGAACTTACTGAAATGACACGTGTAACATTTAAATAACATGCTAACAAAACAATAAAAGATAGAAAAAAAATGTGTGATGTGCCTCCATTCAGCACATTGGCACTGTCTGGGCACACGAAGACAAGCAACTGTGTAGTTGAGTGCGGCTGCTGGTGTGAACAAATTCTACCACACACACTTACTTATTCCAGATTATATTATTCCCCAGGTTGAAAATAGGTGTGGCCAGTGCGCCCCCCGCATGCTATTACACAGCCTTACCACTACCACCAGCTTGTCTCACAAAATGTCACAGGTAGGGGGCAAATAAACCCCAATAAACCCCACCCACAAGACTGCCCTGGACCCAAAGGGTCGGTTTGTCACCGTGACCTAAAGGAAACCTGTAAGGAGAGAAATACAGAGACTGCCTTTGCTGGCCTCCTTCTAAAAATGGTAAGAGCCTGGCTGACTCCAGCTTCAATACTTTAATTCACTGACACAAAAATAAGAAATCCTGATTAGCATTCTTGTGATGGCTTTGCATCAACAGCCAAGCAATGAGTATTGCTAAGAGCTTAGCAATAGTAGCCTACCTATTATCTTAGCACAAATGTAAGGTTGCAACGGTAAAGGAAAGAGGTGATGTGGTCTGTAGAAAGATGTACAGAAAAAAAGGTTTTCATGGCCCTGTACACAAATACACACCAGATTTAAGAAATATTTCCCCTTTTGATTGCTACAGAGGCAGTCTAAGCAGTACCATCACTCAAACTTTACTGGCACTTTGGCTATGAAAAAGTCATCTTCGTGATGCTCCAGTACCATTAAAATCTAAAAGGAACACATTTTCTCCCTGATTTCTCACAAATCTACTGATGTTAAAGAACTCCAGGAAACATTTTTTTAACCCTTGCAGTGGGGCTACCATCTCCCCACCCCACTGCAGGGGTTAAGCACTCATTTGTGTCTAGTTGCTAAAAAAAAAAAAAAAAAAAGTTATACTCACCAGACCATCTGAGCCAGCTTGTTCTTAGACCGGTGTCTAGAACATCTGTCTCCCTCTGCTGCAGTGGTCTAAAGATGCTGGTGTCATCACGCTCTATACACTGTGCATAGACCGTGTACAGACGTGAGGATGCCAGGGAGCAGTCCATCTGTGCAGTGGAGGAGGAAACACACTTCATTGATCACAGAGTCAGTTAGCCAGCTCGGATGGTCTGGTGATTATAACTTTTTTGCACCAAGACAAAAATGAGCACAATGCGGGAGTAGCCCCACTGCAAGGGTTAATATTTTTTCCTGGAGTTCTACTTTAATTCTTCAAGCAGAACTGTTGCATAGCTCCTTTATCAATAGGTTGGTGTTTGAAACAGCAGAAATAGAAATCCATCCTGGAAGATACAGGATGTAAAATAAAACAAATTACATTTGAGATTACACACTGCCTGTTCCATGCTAGGATTTCAATATTTAATCTCTTCAGTTCAGCACTGCCATTTATTCACTGAAGTTTACTTGACAGAGCAATTCTAAACTGCTTAAGGGAATACTGACGAAGCAACCTGTCTAGAACAAATACTACATGTTGTTAGTGATGGAGTATGCAGCTGATGCACTTCAGTTGTGAGAACAGCATGCAGGCTCATAAATACCATTATAAGCTGCTGGGATCTCTAAATAAAATGGCACGTGTGCCTCCAATGAAGCAAAGACATGGAAAAAGTTTATTTTTTGACTGTGCTACTAAATTAATAAAAGTTTAAAAAACAGGAAAAAAGCGCTATAGTTCTTGTTCAATAAAATAATACATTACTGTAAGTCACTGTCAATGGTTTATTCACTATAGAATATTTCCAGTTGTTTTACTATTTCTTAGGCACCACTCTTTTGCCAGTTAATAGGGTTTTACTCACTTTCCAGTAATCATAGCAGTAAGCTGTCTTAGTATGTCTGCTCAATGCTTACATCATCAGGACATAATGGATCAAGTCATGGGCCCATAAGTCACAAAATTATTTAAAGAAGGGAGAGAGACTCATAGCAATAAAACATGAACGGCAAAAGCAATTAGACTAGGGACCCACAACAATGCTGTATACTGTATGAATGCCCATATACTACGATGGTTTTCTAGCCTATAAATTAAAGTAGAACTGAAGTCAAAATTTGTTTTTTTAGTTTTGGATAGTGTAAGGGAGGGTTATAACCTCTCCCATCTGTGTTCCATTGGGCCAGATTTCCTCAAAGTCTGATAGCCACAACAGGAAGTCAGAGGAAATCTCTCCAAAGTGA